GGTTTTAGTATTGCCTCTAAAATGTCCATAAAAATCTGTCGCAGAAATATTCAAAATCAAAGTCATTAAGTAAATAATTTATTTATGTATTCATATAATATTTACTACTAGCTGTTCCCGCGACTTTTATTTTATTTTTTTTAAATAAAAGTAGCCTAAGTTACTCCTTTACATCAGCTACCTGCCAAAAAAGGTCCCGTCATAATCGGTCCAGCCATTTCAGAGATTAGCCAGAGCAAACAGACCGACCGACAGACTGACAAAAATTTTAAAAAGTGGTTTTTTGGTGCACGTACCGTATATATACCGATATGCATGTAGTTAAAAACGGTTATTTCAATATTACAAACAGATACTCCAATTTTATTTATATGTATAAATTTCTATTTAACCTTGGACTTCTCATTATTAATATGTAAATCATTAAGATTTTTTTTAATTTGTGTGCCTTCTATATATGAGACGAACATTTGTACCCTATTTTAGTGAGAGTTCTATATTATTTTTATTTTATTTTATACTAGCTGTTCCCGCGACTTCGTCTGCGTGGAATTTTAATTTAATTTTAAATAAAAGTAGCCTAAGTTACTCCTTTACATCAGCTACCTGCCAAAAAAGGTCCCGTCAAAATCGGTCCAGCCATTTCAGAGATTAGCCGGAACAAACAGACCGACAGACTGACAGACAAAAATTGTATAAAATGTTATTTTAGTGTATGTACCGTATTTATATTCATATGCATGTAGGAAAAAATGGTTATTTCAGTATAACAAATAGACACTTCAATTCTATTTATATGTATATATACATATGTAGATTATAAATAAATGAAAATTCCTACATCTATTATCTCATACTATCTATCTATCTATCTTACTCAAATATATTATATCTTATTCATTCATACCTAGCTACTCTCTTGTCGGTGAAGCTCTAACCACTTTCCACAATTTTCTATCATACTCTGTAACATTACTGTAAAGTTTCATCAAAATCCGTACAGTAATATTAATAATATCAATATTCAGAAACTTTCGCGTTTATAATGCTAGTAATATTCATGTAGGACATAAAAGTCACTTACGCAAGTCCAGTGGTTTTATAGCACAGGGGACAAACGAGCCTGCGGCTCACCTCTGGTAAGTGATTACCGCCATTAGCACCCGCTACGCCAGGGGAATTGCAAGTGCGTTGTCGGCTTTTTAAGAAGGACTAAGCTCTTTTCTTGAAGGCTTCAATATCGTATCGATTCGGAAATACCATTGCTGGAAGGTGATTCACAATGTAGTCGTGCGTGGTAAAAAGTTTTTGTATTATTACATTTTTTATTATGTAGGACAGAGATTCCCAAATAGTTTTTGCTGCGTACCACTTCAAAATAGAGCTCAAACCTTCGTACACCTGATTGTAGCAATCACACTACCTAATATTATAAATGTGAAAGTTTGTGAGTGTATATGTTTGTTTTACTGATAGCTGCACACACCCGTTGATGCAACTTCACGTACCCCTGAGGGTACGCGTACCACTAATTGAGAAAAATCCGATATAAGACATTTTTTTAAATATTTATGTAAGTTAAAATGTTTTATGATTGGTCCAGTTCTGTTATCTACTTTACTTGGGAGGAACTGTTAAAAATCTCAGCTTGTACATTTCCATAAAAATTCCCGTATTATTTCCACAGGGAAATCTCTCCACAATTTTATAAAAAATCTAGGTATATCTAGAACTGCAGTTGGTTCTATACTAGAACGTGTAACTAAAGCTGCACGAGCAGGCTCCTACCAGATTGGTCTGGGGAGAGAAATACGATGTGAAGAAGTCTTGCCGACCCTCAAGGAGTTCCTAAACTTACTCCCTGGTCACAAGTCCGGGGAACTGCTCGGAGTTTCCCTCTCTACCACATGATGGACTCCGCTCCTGCGTGGTTAATCCTTGGAATGCTAAGAGGTTCTCTTTCAATTTGATACTGGCAATTTTAAAAGATATGATAATTTAACAGTTAATTTTAAAAAGTTTTTATTCGAATAATTTCTCTATTCGAAATTTTCAGGCAGCCATTTTGTTTATTTGGCGGGAATTAACAATCATAACTCAATTCAACATCAGAGCGATATGTCAGCTTTTCAGAAAATTTGACTGCTATAGTCATATGATAACGTGATGTGTTTTGATATATCACGTCATCATGTGATGATCAAGTTGCATTTCAGATAGTTTATTTCTAAATAAAGCTGTGAACAATTGATAATATTCAACGTTAAATAAATTTATGGACGTATTATCTTAATGTATCGCATATACTTGCTGTAATATATTTCAATAATGTTCTACTGAGCAGTCTGGCTTTATTCCAAAATGGAAAATTTGGAAGCACAAATTTCCTGAAATTGGAACGTTAAGTTTTAAAAAATTGGGCACGTCTCCAAATTATCTAGTGAATTGAAATACTAAATTGGAACAAATACAATTTTTGTGGATCCCATAAAGTGAATAACAGAGTTTGTCCTAGATAGAAAAATTTGGTTCAAATATTCTGTTTGCGAACTATTCTAATGATGTTGGCCGTAGTCTTTACAGCTTCACCGAACAATAGGGTGTGATTGCAGGTGAGACACTCCAAACGCGAAAACTCCATGAAAGGAGTTATGGAGCGGTTGAAGACCAATTCCTGTGGGATAAATAGGACATTAGTCTATTGTCACCACCACTAGGGGTTCGAATCTCGGTTCAGAGTTCAATTTCCGTTCCAATTGGACGGGAGGATCAATCGGAGGGGATGGTTTAAAAGAGCTTATAAAGCGATTATAAACAATTTGACTAGCTTGGAGTACTAGAGTTTAGGATACCACTTTAATATCGATGGCCGCGGGTTCTAATCCTTACACGGAGCATGAAGGTGGTGGCGAGATCGCCTAAAGTAGACTTCACGGATCTTCAGACTCTCAGCTATCACTTGTGACCGCCAGCGTGCATCATTAGCACAAACTGAATCGTGGTGCTTCATCATCATCTCCAAAACATCACATATACAAACTCATCTTGATTAGAGAGAGAGTGTGGTTAGAGCTATATCGTGAGTTCGAATCTGGCTTGCCGAAATCAAAGTACTTTGAGTGTCAATTTATATATCTAACTAACTTTCTGTCGACGGAAATATCGATAACAAACTGAATTAAGTAGATTAGCTCGCTGTGGCTTTTGTTTGATATATAATCAACGAAATGTGGGATTGATTGAGAGTAGAGACACATATTGATTAGAGAGAGATTGGTGGAATGTGGTTACAGTTATATCGTGAGTTCGAGTCTGTCTTGCCGAAATAAAAGTAATTTGTGCGTCAATTTATATATACCTAACTAACTTTCTGTTGATGGAAACACCGATAACAAACCGAATTAAGTAGGTTAGCTGCCTGTGGCTTTGGTTTGATATATAATTGACGAAATGTACGATTGATTGAGAGTAGAGACACATATTAATTAGAGAGAGATTGGTTGAATGTCGTTACAGTTATATCGGGAATTCGAATCTGTCTTGCCGAAATCAAAATACATTGTTAGTCAATTTAAATATCTAACTGACTTTCTTTTAATGGAAACACCGATAACATATCGAATTAAGTAGGTTAGCTCCCTGTGGCTTTGGTTTGATATATAATCAACGAAATGTGGGCATGTTAAGTGTTGCGATCAGCACGACGCGACGTCGTTGTTATATAACGACTGCAGGGTTGTCAACCATTCAAACCATTCAAATGTTTCACCATTTAGCCTAATATAAATAAATAAAAAATATATGTGGTTCACTAAATTTGGTTGTCTAATCTCATACATCGAAGGGGGATAAGTAGATAAAAATCTCTTACACTTGTACTAGAATGAAAATGCCCTCGTACTGATGGCCAAAAATTTCGTACCAGTACGAGGGTTTTGAGGATATTGAGAACTATAGAGGATAGTTCACGCCTACGTACTTTGTAACTTCAATGTTATAACTCATCTTTTAAGCCAAAATACTGTTTATAAAGCAAGCTATTTGATGGCTGAAATAGATGACCCACGCATATGACTTTATACAAAGTCTACCTGAGCTTACTTTTATTTGCAATATGACAAATATAGAGAAGTTATTTTTTTAATTATTATTAAAATCAGAAATATAAAGACGTTCTTAATTTAAAAAATAATACTAAATACTATAAAAGTTTCTTTTTATAAATATTTCAAAAATAGAATATTCCGTATTGAGATAAATGTCATAATTCTTTAAGTTCTCCATTTGAATATTGACTTGTCATAAAACTGAGGACTGTCACAAGAGTGCATACATAATTAATGTAAAAAACTATAGATTAAAAAGTAAAACATTAATAAACTTAGTAATTACTATTATTGATATATTTGTAAAATATACTTTTATTACAAAAATGTTGATTTAACATCCTTTATAAAATATAACTCGGCTTTGTTATCAAAATATGTACCTAATTACCCATTGCTTCGCTAACAAAGCTTATTAACTTTTATAAAAAGACTGAATAAATTAGCATGCCACTTATTGTAGTCGAGATTATGCCTATTATGTAGGCAGTAACGATCTGTTTCTAATTTTAGTAATAATGAAGCCTACTCGAGTTACCCTAACAACAGCCTAACAAAAACCGATTAAAAACCTTTTACAATTTCACAACTACAACAGCCTTGGCACGCAAAATTAATTAGTTTTATCAGTATATCACCACACACAATGTAAGTCAAGTGCCTGAACGAATTACTTACCTACTATACACACATATGTATTTTTTCTATATGTAAGTAGTTCTGGTAGTTACATAAAAGTTAAACACTCGTCTTTCTTGTCACGTCCGTTGTATTTTTAGACATAAAACCGTGGCAAATCCAATTTGCAAAGGACAATACACAATAACATAGTAATTAGATTAAAGAAAATATATATGTAGGTAATAAATAAAATATTTTAAATCTAACACTTACCCTTAAAAAATCGTTTGCATTAAAAAACTTTTTAATCTATAAACACAGACGCATGTTCGAAATTCAAAAACGTTCGATTTGAAAATTTACACGTTTAAATTTGGAATATTTACAATATTATTTACAGTTACTTGGGATATCCGCCGTTGTACTGGGGTATGGCGAAACGTCAGTTTGTCCGCATCGTTTGGCGCTTGCGCGGAGCAAAATGGCGGCGGGTCGATAGTTGGCCGTGATAAGCTATCTCTGAAGGCTACCCCCATGCTTGGTGACATTGTAGAAACGGGGTGCTGAAACGAGGTCACGGGTTCGTATTAGCCCGCGCTTCCGCTTTCGGTATTACCATTGTCACTATAGGTTGCCAGTGTGGAAAATATTTTCATTTGGTGACGTAACTTTTTAGTGAAATATAAGAACTGTTTTTACATAACGAGTAATATTTTGTATTAATAATTTTAGATATTAAAATACCGTATTTTGAATAATTAAATTACAACTGTGTTGGTGGAAACAAGTCTTCGTTTGCACCATCATCACTATGATAAGCAGTTATAGTGTTGCCAAATCTTCGAAGCTATAAAATTTAAGATTATATATTCCTATATGAATATATATTAGGTACTATTTAGTACCTAATTAGTTTATGAAATTTGTAAAACAGTGTCTTGAGAATTATTTGTAAAATCTATAATTAGGCAGTATAACTCTTGTGTTGTGTTACATTCTTTACCTCTCGAATTAGACAACTTATAAAAAATTATATATAACTTGTATAATATTATTTATAAATACAAATAATATTATAAAGTACTCATTCAACTTTTATATTTATATATTATAATTATATTCACTGTTATTTATAGAAAAACAGGCTTGCGAAAGTTAAAAAAAAAGATGGTAATTGTAACAAAACCGTTTTTTTTTCGTACAACATATTTGCATCCATTCATGTTGAAGGTTCCTCATGTTATCCGCAGGTCCATGCTTGCAGCATCTTGAACATAAATACGTAAAAATACAGAGAAACTTACCGGTTTGTCTGTTTGTGTGTTACTGCTTCACGTAAGATTAGTTGGAGGTATTACGATGACATTTTCACAGAATATATTGCCAAATATGGGCCAACAAGTAATTTAGAGGCATCTTAAAAACTTACCCCCGAAAGGAAAACATTAATTGTATATTTTTTTATACATTTTGAGAACATTTATTTTAATACTACCTGTGCCCACGATTTCATCCACGTGAAATTTGTTATTCTGATGTTTAAGCTATGTTATTGTAAAGTTTCGCTTTAAAATCCGTTCAGTAGTTTTTGCGTGAAAGAGTAACAAATATTCATACAATCCATTCATTCACACTCACAAACTTCGGCGTTTAAATCATTAGTAAAATTTATTAATAAGATAATAACAAAATCTTTGGACGAGAAAATGTTTTGCTTTATTTTGTACCACTAGTACTAGTTGTTGAATTTTTTTTTTGTAATTGTTATAAAGTTTTTTAAAACAATCTCAAGTACTACTGATGTAAATGTCTCAGGAAAATTCACACAGCGCCATCTTGTCCTAAGCTAAGCAGGAGTTATGGGTACTAGACAACCGAATAAATACAAAGATACACTTTTTTGTAAATACATACACATTATATACAAAACTCGTTGACTGTTACAAAAAATCATACTCATGAATACAAATGTTTGTACAGGACGAGTAATCGAACCCGCGACCATCGGAAATATGGCACCGAGGCCGGCCTATTTTATTATTTTTTATATCACTAAAATGTAATAATGTATATTCACGACTGTAATTCCATATAAGATAGTCAGAAACATCGTCAACTGTAGCAGAGCGCCGTGGTGAACTAAACATCCACACATTCTCTAAGTGTATGTACTGAAAGATTTCAGTTAGGCGAGCCTACCACCGTCTCTCCAATTGATCTGATTTGTTTACCATTAGGCGAATCAGAAATATAAATTGACATACAAAGTTTATTATTTCAGGTTCGAACTCCCTACCCTAAAGGAACTATAAATCGAAGTGCTATATAAACATAAATTTATTTCTCATATATCCATATTTTTCTAAAATTCCGCATAATAACAATTGTAGGATGAAAAATACTATAATAATAATAATGTCTCAGGACAATTCACACAGCGCCATCTTGTCCTAAGCTAAGCAGGAGTTATGGGTACTAGACAACTTATATAAACATACAGATAACACATAAAGTGGGTATGGAGCCGTTGGGGCGTCGTATTCCAGACTAGTGTCTGTGTGAAGCCGTCACTATGGACTACCGATTCTCTAAAAATAAATAAACAATTTGTTTTAGATGCGAAAAATAAAACAAAAGTTATTTAATAAAATTAATATTATATGTACTAAGAATTAATTTAATCGTCGTCAGCATTGGAGTGTAGATATCGCACTTCCGGGTCGTTTTGTGTGCGCCCGCGCACTCTAGCCAACATTACTGCCAAGTGCGCGCCCCTCGATGCATACATGAGCCATCCGGCACCGAAGCAGCAAAGCAGCACTGCTAGCACTACGGTCCACGTCTTCAATCCACTCCATTCATCTAAAAATATCATTTTATTAATACGTGAAGCAAAACGTTGTATATCTTATACATATATAAAATTCTCGTGTCACAAAGTTACCATGCTCTTCCGAAACGGCTAGACCGATTTTTATGAACTTCTATTTTTAATAGCAATTTTAATTTATATGGTTAAACAACGTTATGTTATTACGTATCCATACCCATACCGATATAAGATACGTACCCATATAAGATAATAAATATTACATATTATTATTATAAACGCGGAAGTTTGTGAGTATGGGTGGATTTGTGAGGATGGATAGATGTGAAAGAGTAACATTTCACGCAAAAACTACTGAACGGATTTTGATAAAACTTTACAGTAATGTAGCTAATACATTAGACTAGCACATGTTTTTTATCATTTGTCATTAAATACATATAACCCAAAATTTTCTCCTTCCTGCTATCAAACCCTCATTTTTAATAGCGGTTTTATTATTTTAATAAATTTCTACTCAAGGGGTCGATAACTGATTTATTTATATGGCAAAAAAGGTATTTCGGGTCAGGAAATACACACATATATGGATTTATAAGATTGTTAGGCATTCCATTTCTTCTTCAACCTTGCCTCTTCTCGTTACGCGGGGTCTGTTTTTCTATTTTTTATTGTTAACCAATCCATTTAATAAAGAAATTTACACTTACTGCTTTGTTTATCCTTGACTCTTCTAGATGCTGAATCAATAATTTGTTTATTAGTAGTGGCTGTAACAGTGGTTGTTGGTTTAATTGTCGTCGTTGATTTCTTTGTAGTGATCATTTTTGTAGATGTCGTTGGTTTTGATTTAGACGTTACTTTCTTACTAGTCGTAATTGGTTTAACTGTAGTTGTTTTTGTAGTAGTTAATATTTTCGTTGTTCTTGATGTTTTTGGCGTAATTTTAGGCGTTGTTTTAACTGTCGTTGTCTTTGATTTTGTCGTTTTTGGTGGCACTGTAGTTGTGACAACAGTAGTTTTTAATGTTTTTGTTGTTTTACTGGGCACTGTTGTTGGTGCATCAGATGATTTTGACACTAGTTTCTGTGTTTGCGGTGGTTCTATAGAACTTGCTTTGTCGTCGTCAACAGGCGTAGTGTCCATATCTGAAGCATTTAAATTTTTAATTTCATTTAGTTGTTACAATTATATCAAATTTTGATTTTTTTATTAATATTTCTGCGTTCGTTTTAAATCATGTATGATTATAATCATTATATGATTTAAAATGTACGCTGGATGACCTCGATGATGTAGCAGTTTAGCACACCGCTTTTCTTCCGATGGTTGCGAGTTCGATTCGTCGCACGGTGCAAACATTTGTATTCATGAGTATGATTGTTTGTATCTGTCTGGATGATTTATATGTTTATTATGTGTGTATTTACTAAATAAAATCTAAGTATTTATCGGTTGTCTGTACACATAGAACACGCTCTGCTTACCATGGGACTAGATGGCGCTGTGTTAATTGTCCAGGGTTATTTAATAATTAATGGCACAGTATAATTAAAACTCATAATGACAATTAACTTACTGCTGGAAAAGACACACATTTCGAAGAAATCAGCGCAGCACATGCTATTAAGGACGCAGGCAGCGGTGCAGCCACATCCGTGCTTCGGTTCAGAGTTTCCATAAACGTTACAGCGCCCTTCACAAGATTCAGCTGAATATAGAAAACGAACACTTGTATTATATATGAAGGTCTCGGCGATGAACTTTCATTCTTAAAGTAAGAATTTATGATGAATGACTAATGTTTAGAATTTATAATGCTTGGATTACAAAATTAATATTTGTACGCTGGAAACAGCAGACTATGATGAAACTTATCTTATATATAAAATTCTCGTGTCACAGTTTTCGTTCCCATACTCCTCCGAAACGGCCTGATCAATTCTCATGAAATTTTGTGAGCGTATTGAGTAGGTCTGAGAATCGGCCAACATCTATTTTTCATCCCCCTAAATGTTAGGGGTAGTCGACGTCTAAATTTTTTATTTTTATTTTAAGGCAAAACAACGTCTGCCGGGACAGCTAGTACTATATATAATTACCACCATTGTACATACCATGTTATGATAAATAAATATATTATTATTATTATTATTATTGTTTCTTTATATATATATTATATATCTCCCTTTGATGGGGCAACAGACCTATCATTGCAGGTAAAAATCACCAAACAATGACAGTATAAATGATGAGGATGGAGCATTTTTAAGCGGAAGACAAAAATTTGCGGAATATTCTACAGGTGTTCAGTATTGCAGCTTTTTGGAGAAGTATGAAAGTAAATGGGTGAAATTGTAATATCTTGAGGCTAGTGTGTAGGGATGTTGGGATGACACCTGTGGACGAGATAATAATTGGGAGAGTTTTTACTGTTTCTACCTGCCATTGTATTTTTAGTTCTATTGCCAAATCAGTATATTTAGCAATTTTTTCTGTATGATTTTATTATTATTATTATTATTGCCGATGATGACAAGTTCGATTGCATCGGTCGATACAAACATTTATAATCATGATTATGAAAGTTTCTATTGTTCTCTATTTGTATTATATATGCATTTAAAAAAAAAAGGATTTAAATATTTCAATCACTTCTCTAGTACCCATAACACAAGTTCTGCTTAGCTTGAAACTAAATGGAGCTGTGTGAATTGTCCTAGGTTATTATTTATCGGCTTCAGTGGTCTAGCGGTTTAGAACATCGCCTTACTTCCGATGGTCGGGGGTTCGATTCCTCGCACGGCACAAACATTTGTATTCATGAATATGATTCTTTGTATCGGTTTGGGTGTTTTCTATGTATAATATGTATGTATTTACGAAAAAAAATGTATTATCTAGTACCCATAACGAGCTTTAGTTGACTTAACTTGGAGCCAGATGGCGCTGTGTGAATTATGCTTAGATTATCATTATTATTATATTATAATACATTTGTTGACAGCCTGGGTGGTCTAGCGGCCACACCGCCTTACTTCCGGCGTTCTCGGTTTCATTTCCTCAAACATTTGTATCCATAAATATGATGGTTTGTATTGGTCTGAGTGTTTTCTATGAATATTATGGATGTATTTCCAAAAAAACATCGAATGGTAATAATAAAAACATCCTATAATGCCTCGCTTGGTATACGTTGGTATACCATTAGCGCAGGTTTATGCACAATTCCATAATCATTAACTAAATAAACTGTAAATTAAATATACAATTGGCAAATTTAGACCCGTGCTTTACAAAGAATTTCTTCGCCAAGTGAAAGAGGAAACGCAGTAGGGTTTCCTCTTCTACTACTTCTCATTAGTGGCTATAATTACATAGGATGTGTTACTACACATGCATGTACATAGTTATAGCCTACTAATGCATAATATCTCCTTTAGAAACTTAACTTTCTCCTGAGATCAAAACCATCGTTCTTAAGAATATCCTTCAATTATTCCCCTTACTCTAAAACTAAGAGCGATCACGATATATCTCTGCAGGTCGCAGAGCTATATGTCTAAGCACAGAGTAATAGCTCAAACACCTTAATAAAATAAAAAAAACTTACATAAAAATGTGGGAGGTGTGGGCACTGCTTTATTACAATCTTCGCCCTGCATTATAGCTACATCATCTATTGCAATATCACTGGTAAAACTCTTGCCTCTGATGCCCTCGATTATTATCTAGAATTAACATTGCATTATTAAACCAAGAATTTGTAATAAATAGTTTCTAGAGAGATCGTGTGTCAATTTAGCAGCTGATATAAATACAATATTTACTTTACAAAAGAGGGCCTGTCGCTCCATTTGTGGTATGGGTTCCAGGGAGTCATTGCGAGAGTGTTTTAAGGAGTCAAATATCAGCACCGTTGCTTCTCAATACATTTATGAAAATATCATCTATACCAGGAAAAATATAGACAGTTTCAAAAGAGTTAGTGATTGCACCAATAAAAGCTTACGTAACAATAACAAACTGATTTTACCTAAATGTCGTTTGGCTAAAGTTAGTAATTCGTTTTATGGAAATTGCGTAAGGTTTTACAATAAAATACCAGAGTCTGTTATAAATCTGCCAGAAAAAATATTTAAATGTCAAATAAAACAGTTCCTTTGCAAAAAAACTTACTATAAAATTGAAGAATTCGTTAACGATAATAATGTTTTTATAGAAAAACTTTAAATCCATAGCACTGACAATATTATCTAATTACACTAATAATGAGTGCGTAGCGATTTCTATGTTGATTATCGCATGCATGTTTTTTTTTATATAAATAATTACAGTATAACAAGTAAGAGACTTGTTATACTGTAATTACAGTATAACAAGTAAGAGACTTGTTATACTGTAATTATTTGTATAAAAAAAACATCTATTAAAAAGAGCAACACACAAGTTTCTTGCTCATCTTCTTGTGATGAATGTGCATTCCGAATGAGTGGTAGAATCAAAATATGACTATTCAAAAGTGCTTGTAATGAGTTTATTTGAATAAAGAATATTTCTATTTCTATTTCTATTTCTACTTGACATGGTACATTGCTAGCTATATGGTTATTAGTCCATATTATTGTCAATTCCCTTCCTCCACTCATAGTAGGTTTACCGACGCAAATGTACAAGGTATACGACCTTGGGTACTTGGGTGGGTACCTCTGTACTACTTCTTCAGCTAGCTTAAGCGGATTCAGATTTTAGAGTACGAAGTCATGATATCTTAGCCTTCCAGAATACAATGCATGAGAGTCATAAGAGTGTGAATATCATAATTTTCTATCACTTGGGGTTGTTTCTCGTTAAAATTTTATTTGAATAAAGAATTTTCTATCGTATTCTATTTTACTCCACTCCACTAGACTCGCCTCCATCGCATTCCACTGCACTCCACTCCTCCCTATTCTATTCAATTGGCACACTAAGACTTTTTGGGCGTAGGTATAGTTGTGAAATATTAGCATTACAAGTTTTTCATTCAGGCTATAATAAGTCTTGCGTTCCCCATGTCGACAGTTGACAATGTCTGTAACTGCCATCTGTATATTATAGTCGTTAAGATACCTTCAAATTTTTATTATTACTTTAGATATACTCTTAGTTCATACCTGAAAATCGTCGCCTTGATCTTTCAAAGGAGATATAGACCCGTACCAGGTATCTCCTTGGTTTCCCCATTTTTCAAACAGCAGAAACTTTTGTTTGTCATGTAACACTGTGAGAATTGCCAGAGGATAGTTATCCGGCTTTTGATATACTCTTAAACCCCCGATATCCCTGAAAATAATAATAAATTACTTTATACAGTAACCAAAAGAAGATTATATAGAGTTGTGTGTGTTAGACCTACAATAAGAACAACTTATTTTTTTCGGACTACTCTAATGCTGTTGGCCGCAGCTGGCTTTTACAGCTTCATCGGACGATAGGGGGCGAATGCAGATGGCACTTCAAATCCGCGGAAGGACTTATGGAGTGGCTGAAGGCCAACTCCCGCCTGACAGATACGGTTTCAGTCTTAGGGCACCGCTAGGGGTTCGAACATCGGCTCAGGCCGCTGTAATTTCGATCCCCGTTTGAATTGGACGAGGGATCGATCGGAGGGCAAGAATAACTTGTAAGACGACCTCGGTGGTGTAGCAGTTTAGCACACCGGTTTATTTCCGATGTCTCACCTATTTCAGCCACCAAGCATCTTTTTTTTTTATTTATTATAATAGCAAACAAGTATACGTATGTAGCATACGATAATACACGGTTATCATAACTTTATTTATCATTAGCTTGCCTCGCAAGAAGTGTTTCAGTTAAATGGTACTATTAGACAGTGTAATTACAAGATTGCAGACACCTTAACTAAGACAACCAATCGTACTCATAAATAAAAATATTTGTATACATATATGTATATGTGCAAAAATTGAATAAGGAGAAGAAGAGATTTGAGAATTTAATCATATGGAATGCTTACCATTCCGTTAACATAAAAAAATTAATGATTTCAAATCAAAATAACATAAAAGCTTTTATTCATTTCAAATGACCTTGTACATGATTACAGAAATACAGATTCATTTTTAAATTCAATTAGAGAAAATATAGTGACCATCAGCATAGCTACTGAATTTTTGTCTAAATAATCTAGTCAGTGGCCGTAACCCGAACAGACAATTATGTTTTTTTATAACACAGGGACAAACGAGCATGCGTCTCACCTGATGGTAAGTGATTACCGCCGCCCATGAGCACCCGCAATACCAGGGGAATTGCAAGTACGTTGTCGGCCTTTTAAAAAGGAATAAGGTCTTTTCTTGAAGGTTTCAATATCGTATCGGTTCGGAAATACCATTGCTGGAAGGTGATTCCCCAATGTGGTTGTGAAATGCACAGAGATGCAATATCTCGCCGCAAAGCCAATGGGTCGAGTCTGTCACATAGACGTTGATTACCAATGATTCTGGCTGCTCGGTTCTGAATGCGGTCAAATGGAAGTAGCTGGTATTGTGGTGTTCCCGCCCAGAGATGAGAACAGTATTCCATATGCGGCCGGATCTGCGCCTTGTATAATTGCAAGCGATGGGCCACCGTGAAATACCGTTTCACTCTACTGAGCACACCAAGCTTTTTTGAGGCTATTTTAGCCTTGTTCTCCAAATGACCGCAAAACTGAACGTCACTGGATATATCAACGCCAAGGACCTCGAGATTTGGCTTCACATCAAGGAGAGTGTCTTGAAACTGAGGAGATACGATAAATTGAATCTTTTTAGCAGTAACTTTCCACTAACACCCGTTCACGAGTATGACGGAAAAAAGATAAGATTCAGTTAAGATTTTGCTAGCGGATGGAGTCCCCGCATACGCTAACAGAACATCGATAAAGGAAGATAGGATGAGTATAAAGTAATGTTAATTGGTCCATCGTGGTGGATTCACCAATAATTTATAATGACGATCTCCAGGGTGACCGCGTGGAGGTACATCTACCATGTCTGCCATGTGATTTGGTTATGGTTACTTACTTCCCAAACATATGATAGTAGAACGAGAAACAACCGCCTTTAGTCAATTCCTTACTGTAAACTGGTGATATAAGGCGAGCCGTATCATTTAAACTTCTTGCTGTACTCTCAATATACATGTAATAACCTGAAATATAATATTATAGAATTATTGCACAAATGGGCAGGTTTTATTTCATGCTTATTCGTAATGGTTGTATCCTACATTCATGTAGGACATTTTAACCGCTTATGAACGTAAATTTTTTTATATTAAAATTTTTTCCCTACCGTCAAATTGTATTATCCCACGAAAACCTTATTTCACACATAGTTTTAAACACATTTTCTATTTGACATCACCATTATACAATATATAAAAAAAGAAGAGGAAAAAAGAAAAAATCAATATTTTTTTCTTTCCTTCTTTTTTCTATATCTTTTATTATACGAGTATATTATATAATAGCGATGCCCGCAATTGAAAACGCATGTACACTTGTAGACCTCCATGTATCCAGGGTGTTTATTGAGGAGTGTGAAATACTGAAAATGTGTGAGTTACGGTCCCTTTCGTATGTCCAAATCGAATCAAAAATTATTTATTCATGTAGGTCCCCATTTGGTTTGTTTGAATTGTATAATAGTTGGCTAAGATGTCATTACCTGAAGCTCCTTCTCCAAGAGTATGGTCATATGAAGGTCCAGTGGCCATTAGTGCGCTAGGTGTCGCCAAATTCAACCTTTTCCAATCGAAGTCGTGTAAATCATCATTCATCCAACCACATAGGTCACTTTTTTCAAAATCACAACTTAATTTACTTGCAGTATTTGTATCTGAAATAAATAACAATAGAATTATGTAGTTTTAGAACTGTTATCCCAGACGGGATAGTTAGAGTGTAGATCATAGTGTTACAATGCAAAACTTGACATGCCTACTATGTGCTGCGTATATTTTGAATGCAACACGAACGGTGCAAAACTACTACTTTATATGAAAGAAAGGAAGAAAGTATCTATATAATTTTAAGAACAAAAATAAAATATAAAAGCAAATTTAATAAAAAAGCAACTAGGCCCATATTAAACCTTTATATGTTTACAATTTAGTTTTATTATAATAAAACACCTATATACACATCAGGGATGTTATGGATATGAAATTTCGGATACGGATAGGTTTCGGATATAGGAATTATTATTATACCGGACACGGATACGGATACGGTTTCGGATAATTTCGGTTACGGATATTAATTTTTTAAGGAATTTCAAAAGTAAAATACAATTAGCTAATAACATGGTTACATAACCTATCTCTATTACGCTCCGTCCCTATCCGATATCATCCGAAACTTTTATTTCGGATTCGGTTACGGTTACGAATATATTTTTATATCCGATATCCGATAGTTTCGGTTACGGTTACGGAGCTCCTAAACATCCCTGATACACATCAAACCTGACCATAAATACGTTCCTTAACTTTTGTTAATAAATAAATAAGTATTGATTTCAGCTCAAACTAATAGTTACCAACACAACTAGGAGCAGTTCCATTCCATGTGATACCATCGCAGTACATGGCTGGGCGGCCTTTTAACTCATAGCCGGGTAGACAGAAGAACGTCAACCAAGCATTATCATGCTTAGATAATTGTAGAGAGTGAGGTACATTCGGAACTATGCAACCAGGTTCTGTAAAATTAATGTAATAATAACCATACACAATTCACACAACGCCATTTTAATCCCAAGCTAAGCAGAGCTTGTTATGGGTACTGACAACTGATGTAAATACTTAGATTTGTTTGTAAATACATTCATAATTATTTTACTAACTGATCTGACTTAATTCTATCCACCACTGATGCCCCGCCAGCGTATACCGTTGTTTTGGCAGGGCACTAGTTGAGGATGATAAGATGAACATGAGGTTAGGTCAGTTAGCACGTCACGCAAATTTACCAGGAATTTAATGTGATGGTTTCCAGGAGGCATGGAGGTCAATTTAACATGGTACATTGCTAGCAATGGTTTCAGAGGAGCTTCCTCCCGCGTACACTTAGACTGTGGAATGAACTACCTGCCGAGGTTTTCTCGAGAGACTACAGCATGGGGGTTTTCAAGAAGGGTATATTAAGGTTTCTTAAGGGTCGGCAACGCGTATGTGACACCCCTGGTGTTTCAGGCGTCCATAGGCTACGGTAGCCGTTTACCATCAGATGGGCCGTATGCTTGTTTGCCACCTACATAAGTGGTATAAAAAAAAAAAATGGGTTCAACAGTCCGCATTACTAACAATCACTTTCCCCCAACCCCTATATTACATGAAAGCTAACAAAAAATACGACTTAAATAATAATTAAGTGAATTTTGTGTATATTTTAAATATATACATATACTAGCTGTTCCAGCAAACGTTGTTTTTCCATATAAATTAAAATCGCTATTAAAAAATAGAGGTTGATGCTAGATGGGTAAACATTTAGAGCTGTATGTATTTTTCAGTCTTAAATAATAATAAAATGAAAATAAAATATTATGTCGAAAAAATTAAAAAAATACATATTTAGGGGTGGATATCCCTTACCACTTAGGGGTATGAAAAATAGATAGTGGCCGATTCTCAGACCTACTGCATATGCATATAAGATTTTATAAACATCGAGCCGTTTGGGGATGGAGTATGGTACCTAACATTGTGACAAGAGAATTTTATATATAAGATTAGTTTAGTTTGCTGCTAACATTATTATATTTATTTAGATTCGTATATGTCGCAGTCAGTCACTCGTAAACCTGTTTATGAGCTGTGAATAGATTGATACCAATGCAATTCATTCTTATTTTGTACTAAGTTTTTTTTTTAATAATTTTATTTGTCTGTCTACTGTTTTTATTATCACTTTTTTTTTAATACAAATATATTATATAGTCTAGTCTAGCCGCGATTTGATACGGAAAGTTTTAATTGCTTAATGTGTTCCTCTGGAGGGGATGCTAAATTATCGAAATAAATACATATATATATTATACTAGCTGTACCCGCGACTTCGTCCGCGAAAATAGTGACCTTGACCAAATAATGAAAAAAATATTTAATGACCTAAAAAATTATCCCCTAATTAATTTAACCCTCTTAAGGGAAACATTTTTAAAAACTTTGTATGTCATATTTATTTATTAGCAGATTCAAAAATAAGTTTCAAGCTTCTAGCTTCAACAATGACGATTCTTCCATACAATCTTTCATCCCCAATTTCAACACCTTACAACCCTTTTTTCGCATTAAAAAGTAGCCTATGTCCTTTCTCAGGGTCTAGACTATCTGTGTACCAAATTTCATTTAAATCGGTTCAGTAGTTTTGGCGTGAAAGCGAGACAGACAGACAGACAGACAGACATAGTTACTTTCGCATTTATAATATTAGTAAGGAAAGTAAGGATTATATTATAGTTATATACGTACGTAAATAAATAAATATATATATTTCGTTTTAATTCAAATATAATAATGTTGTGATTTTGCATATTTTTGAAATGTAAATATACCCACGCAATTGCAACATTAAAATTTTTACCTATTTGTCGCTGGAAGATAATAGTATCTATGATACAAGCTCGGCCTAGTATACTACTAAAATATTATGTTATCTGTGCTACTAATAAATTCTCTGTATGATGCGTATTTCACAAAAATGTACTAGTTTATAAGTAGAATAACTGACTGTACTTAAATTGGTGGCAATTAAATATTTTATTATTATTATTTTATTTTATTTATTTATTTATTTAAACTTTATTGAAGTTTTTATACAACAGGCGGGCTTTATGCTAATAGCATTCTCTACCAGTCAACCTTAGGGAGTGCAGAGATTTTATATGTGTTTTATACATCTCCCTTTTTACAGGGGTAAAACTTTCAACACGCGGGCCTTAGTCAAGTGTGGGTGAGTTATATGATGATGATAAAAGTGAAGAGGACAGATATTTCTTTACAATAAGGCATGTGTTGAGAATGACAGCTTTTTATAATAGGTCTATTGTAGAGAAGGGGATTTGCAACGTGTCTAGGTGTTTGCTCAGACTTTTTGATATAATTCCTGTGGATGACAGAACTATGGGTACTACGTAGATGGTGTGTGCTTTCCATTGTTTTTTTAATTCTATTGTTTATTATAATAATAATAATAATAATAATAAGGCCCGCGTGTTTGAATATATTATTTAGTAAAAAGGGAGATATAATAAATATATATAATAAATATTAGTTAAGGTAAGGGTAAATTGCCATCTCCTCTCCTTAAGAGGGGAGATGAGATTTTTTTGGAAGTTAGGAATAATAATAATATTTTTTTTTCTCGACTTTCGCCGGTAATCTTGGTATGTACGGGCCTAAGTCAAGTACATAATTATTATTATTTATTTTTTTCCAAAAATTTTTAGGCAGAAGCACAAAAATTCTCATCTGCCCTCTTAAGGAGAGGAGATGGCAACATACCCCCGGCACAGTCGGCCGGGGTTCAGTGCCCCAGGGAGAGAAACTGACGTACAGTGCGGGCAGAATCTAACAGCACCGCTTTCTGCATCTTTCCCGGGAGTGAGCCGCCCCGGAATCCCAACCGTCTGAGATGTTGTTCCAGACGTTGTATTATTATTATAATAGGAGATAAATATTAATTAACTGAAATCTACATTAGTCTCTCTAGAACTGTAAAAACTATACTTACTGTAAGCGACGCACTACTTATATATAATTTATTGTATATTTTTATGTCATGTTCCTCTTAAGATATTCTTGTTTTGCCCTATTGTTTAGATATGTATGTATACCTGTATTACGCACCTACGTATGATTTTTATTAAAGGTACAGGTATGTGCAATGACCCGCCGTACTGTCCATATGCAAGCCTCCCCACCTAATTGTTTAGTAGCGTCCCACCAACCAACGCGAACGCGGCTTGTTGCACTTCCTAGTTTTAAACTACGCAATTCATCCCTTATACTTACTAACACATACGGGCCAAGGGACATCCCATTCTCCATTTCTACACGTGGCGTATCGGTTACCAACCAGCATGAACCCATGGTAACACATGAATCTGTACAGTCGATATTTTCGTCGTGTGTTGATTCTACCATGATCGAAGTGAGGGAAAGTGCACTGGCTCCCAGAGTCGTAATTGTCATAATCTGTCAACAAAAAAAAAAGGCTGTTAGTGTATTAAAAAAAAATTAAAACAATTCTCAATTTCCATGTTTTTGAGATGTTAAAATGTTTCCGGAGTACTTAACTTATTGTAAACTAGCTATGCTCGAGATTACATCCGCGTATTACTTTACCAAATGAAAAAAATATTCAATAATATAACCCAAAAAATACAAAGAAATAAGTTTGATCGTTCTAGCTTTCTATGACGATTTTCTATACAAATAAAATAGGGTAGGTATATAACCTACCCTATTTTATTTTAAGGATAAATTTTTACAAGCATTGTCTCTCACGTGTATTTAATGTAATGATGTATAAATGTTTTTATTATTATTATTATTATTTACATTTAATCAACAGTCTATGTATAAAATAAGTTACTACCTTCTAAAATGACGACACTTCCATACAAATTTTTATCCCCCTTTTTACCCCCTTACAAAACTTTTTTCGCATTAAATACAAACCTATGTCCTTTCTCGGGGCTAACTATCTATGTACCAAATTTCATAAAAAACGGTTCCGAAGTTTTATCGTGAAAGGGAAACAAACAAACAGAGTTACTTTCTTATTTATAATATTAGTATAGAAGTATGGATTATTTGGACAAATAAACTCACGCAAAAGTCGCTGTCGCTGTCTGTCCGTTCCTATATATGCTTAAATCTTTAAAACTACGCAACGGATTTTGAAGCGTTTTTTTAATAGATAGAGTGATTGAAGAGGAAGGTTTATATGTATAATAAATGTACACCCGGGCAAAACCAGGGCGAGTAGCTAGTTAACGATATATCTCTATTAGTGATTTGTTCAATCTCTGTGTACTGAACGTAAAGTATCATCGGATACTACGTTATCCTTCCGGATATCCTCGAATGACCAATGACAGAAGATAATATCGATCAAAAACAAACATATTTACAGTGTATATGGATGAGAATATTATTATTATTTCTTTATTCTTTATTGTACACACATATATATACATAGAAATAAAATTGGAGTGTCTGTTTGTAATATTGAAATAACCGTTTTTTACTACATGCATATCAATATAAATACGGTACTTACCTACTCCAAAATAACATTTTTTACAATTTTTGTCTGTCTATCTGTCTGTTTGTTCTGGTTAATCTCTGAAATGGATGGACCGATTTTGACGGGACTTTTATTGGCAGGTAGCTGATGAAATAAGGAGTAACTTAGGCCACTTATTTTAGAAAAATTAAAGTTAAATTCCACGCGGACGAAGTCGCGAGCACAGCTAATAGGAAATAAAAACAGTGATACAATAAATGTAATGTCAAGTGCGAGCTTGTCTCTAAAAAGAGATTTCTTCCAGCAAACCTAGAAAATGTTACAGGATAGGATTTCAGTTGAATATCAAACAAACAACGAAATCAAATCAAAAATTAATCCAAGTCTCGGTGCCCTTGTACTTACTTTTTATTATTTACAAAAAAATATACATCTAAGTATTCATTTCAGTTGTCTAGTACCCATAACACAAGATCTGCTAGCCTTGGGACTAGATGGCGCTGTGTTAATTGTCCAAGGTTATTTATGTATGTACCGTATTTATATTCATATGCATGTAGTAAAACACGATTATTTCAATATTACTATGTAATATTATGTTATCTGTGATATTACAAACAGACACTCCAATTTTATTTATATGTATAGATTACATAGTATGTATAAAATAAATTCGCTGTCGCTATCTGTCCTTATGTATGCTTAAATCTTTAAAACTACGCAACGGATTTTGAAGCAGTATTTTTTAATCGATACAGGAATTCAAGAGAAAGGTTTATATATATAATACATGTACACATAAAGTCGGGGCGAGTAGCTAGTTAAAAATAAAATACGCCCCTTCTTACTGATAATTCTATTCTATTCCATAAAATAACAAATCTTTCCTATTTACAATGTTATCGTAATTTACACGCCGGAAATGATAGCATGTGACAATGCGTGACGTCATGGGACGTGACGAGACAGGAATTTCACAAATGGGACAAACTGTGACGAGTGAAAATGTGACCTACGCAAGAGTGCATGAACTGTAGGTACTTTACATATTTATAATATTAAAAATAAAATACGCCCCTTCTTATTATATTATTCTTACTGATAATTCTATTCTATTCCATAAAATAACAAATCTTTCCTATTTACAATGTTATCGTAATTTACACGCCGGAAATGATAGCATGTGACAATGCGTGACGTCATGGGACGTGACGAGACAGGAATTTCACAAATGGGACAAACTGTGACGAGTGAAAATGTGACCTACGCAAGAGTGCATGAACTGTAGGTACTTTACATATTTATAATATTAAAAATAAAATACGCCCCTTCTTATTATATTATTCTTACTGATAATTCTATTCTATTCCATAAAATAAAATAACAAATCTTTCCGGAAATGATATTTACACATGTCACAAATGGGACAAACTGTCGTGAAAATTTACACAAGAGTGCATGAACGGTACTTTACATATTTATAATATTAAAAATAAAATGATATAATTCTATTCTATTCCATAAAATGTGACAATGCGGAAATGATGTCAATGGTGATGTCGTGACGGGACAGGAATTTCACAAATGTGACAAGCTGTGACGAACTGGATGAGACTCAGAGGCATAATAATTTATGGATAAATAAATAACCTTGGCCAATCAATACAGCGCCATCTAGTCTAACGGTAAGCAGAGCTTATATTTTTTTTGTAAATACACACATAATATACTTAGAAAACACCCAGACTGATACAAACAATCATAATCATGAATACAAATGTTTCCACTGTGTGAGGAATTGAACTCGCGACCATCGGAAATAAAGCGATGTGCTACACCGATGGCCTCATCGAGGCTGTCATTTATGATATGGTTTAAAATTTTGTCTGTATGTTTTTACATTATTACATAGTTAATATAAAGTCCCTGTCGATGTCTGTCCCTACGTATGCTTAAATCTTTAAACCTACGCAACGGATTTTGAATCGTTTTTTTTAAATAGATAGAGTGATTCAAGAGGAAGTTTTATATATATTGTAATACATGTACATCCGTGCGAAGCTAGTATACAATAAAACTTGGCAGATGTCGTCATCCCCAAAACAGAAGGTTCAATTGTGTTTTTTTTTTACTACGATGCACATACAAGCGTTTTGTTTGAAACCATTCAGAAATACTAATGTACCAGTAGGTGGGACGTCAGTTGTATGCCATTTAAATTTCTTAAAAAAAACTAGTTTAGTAATTTTTCGCAAAAGTAGTATGAAGTTGTTTTTTAAACATTCACCATTCACCACCTACGCCACTCGCAGCGGAAGTTCAAGATGTGTACGACTAACCAATACTTACGTCCGTTTGATAAAAGTACATACATTGAACGTCCCGGCACGGGTTCTTTTTAGGAATTTAAAAGCCGACCCCGAAAAAGGAAGAGGTTCCTAATTCAGCTGTCTTTTTTTTATTCTATTTAATGTTCACAACTTCATCACGTAATTTGTAAACCGATTGAAAAAAAAACTTTTTTTATTAGTCCAATTTTTTTTTATCATACGAGTAGATTTTTTTATGAAAATTATATCTTTACCTAGTATAAAATGTCTTCCACTATGTGCTCTTAGATCTTTTAAATTGTGCAACGGAATTTATTGCAGTGTTTTGTTATAGATAGAGTGACCCAAAATGGAGGTTTATGTACATATATAATACATGTACACCCGTGCGAAGCCGGGGCAGTTAGCTAGTATGAAATAAAATACAGCTTATGTACACTGCTAATAGCTTTGCTTAGTTAGTAACTTAATTTTTCTAAAATAAAAGTAGCTTAAGTTACTCCTTATTCCATCGGTTATCTGCCAAAAAAGTCTTGTCAAATTCGGTCCAGTCATTTCAGAGATTAGACACAAATAGACCGACAGACAGACAGACAAAAATTGTAAAAAATGTTATTTTGGTGTATCTATTGTATTTATATTCATATGCATGTAGTAAAAAATGATTATTTCAATATTACAAACAGACACTCCAATTTTATTTATATGTATAGATAGCTTTGTTTTGGTTTGAACTCGAATGACAATAAATTTACTGTATGTGACATTGTACTCAGCAGTATGAGCAGTCAACGCTATGAATGCTAGCATTAGTTCTTAATTAAACAGCCTTTATACAGAAATAGAAAGAATTTTTATTAAAATAAACCTATACACAAGCACTTTTGCATAATCACATTTTTAAATCCACCTTTGCATAATCACATTCAATCAATCACATTTTACCTATTCAGAAAGTACCTACAATTAGTCAAGAAGAATGAGCAAGAAACTTGCCTGTTGCTCTTTTAAACAAATGTTATTAAAATTTACATTGTAAGTTAAACTTTGTGAACTACCACGAATTCATAACTGTCAAAAATAAAATCACTTCTCCAAATTTATCAAATTGATGATTAATAAAGCTGTTAAGACATGGAGTAAATGACAAACAAACTAACTTCTGTATAAATTGTGTGAATACAAACTACCAAATAACACGAATTCATAACAGTCAAAAATAAAATCTCTTCTACAAATTAATCAAATTGATGATTAATTAAGCTGTTAACACATGAAGTAAATAATAATAAATAATATATAACCCTGGACAATTAACACAGCGCCACCTAGTCCCACGGTAAGTAGAGCTTGTGTTATGGGTACTATTTAAATTTTTTTTTTTAATACGTATGTAATATACGTCGAAAACACCCAGACCGATACAAACAATCATACTCATGAATACAAATGTTTGCTCCGTGTGGGGAATCGAACCCGTAACCATCGGAAGTAAAACGGTGTGCTAAATCTCTAGACCACCGAGGCCATCGTAAATAACAATAAACAAGTTAAATTTTCTATAAATAAATTGTAAATTTTGAATATTGAAAAGTGAAATTATACAATATTTCCTTACCACAATATGATAACTGTATCATTTGGTTATTTATAACTACCACATTTAAAATTAAATACTTTTCTGATAATATATGTATATCTTGTTTCATATTGACATTACTTTTCCCATCATTTAAAATTTTTGTGTTTAATACTCACTTATTTTTATATTTATTCATCATATATTTTAAAATCGTTTGTCTGACTGATTCACCAACGATCAGCCTAAATGATAAGGGTGAGATACTTAAAATTTTGTCAGTTTATGACATAGACATGCATTAAAGAGGATTTTTTGAAAAATTCACCCCGAAGGGTGTAAAATTAAAGATTGCCTGTAATTTGCATATTCGAAAATTTTAAAGTTACATGCACGAAATTTCGTATACAGATTTATAGTGCCCATCCGATCGATCCCCCGTCCAATTCAAACGGGGATCGAAATTACGATGGGCTGAGCCGAGGTTCCCCCCTAGCGGTGCTCTCAGACTAAAGTCGTGTCGGTCAGGTAGGAGTGGGCCTTCAGCCGCTCCATAAGTCCTTCCGCGGGTTTGGAGTGTCATCTGCACTCGTCCCCTATCGTCCAGTGAAGCTGTAAGCACCAGCTGCGGCCAACAGCATTAGAGTAGTCCGAAAATAAATGATTTATAGTTAGAAATAAGTAGTTAACTATTTCAAAAGTTTGAAAAATCATACCCAATGCCGGTGAAATAAGGGTTGAAAGTTTATATAATAATAATAATAATGTACATTTATTTAGCAAATGTTATTTACATTAGCATACATTAAATGAAATTGGTTTATATAGGACTAGGAGCTGACCTAACTTCGTCTGCATTTCATTTCCCCACTTTTTGCAATATATTTTATTGCAGCGCCGCTCCTATTAGTCGTAGCGTAATGTTATATAGCTTAAACTCTTCCTCGACAAATGGACTATCCATCACAAAAATAATTTATCAATACGAACCTGAGTTCCTGAGATTAACGTGTTCAAACAAACAAACAAACTCTTCAGTTTTATAACATTAGGATAGATAAGAACAACCAAATTTAGTATTAACTCAGTAGAAAGAAATACGAATATCGTCATTTTTGATCATTCAATCCCCACATTAGTACAAAACTAAAAATAAGAGACAAATTGAGTTAAGAATCTAGACACGCGGTAGCGTGTCAAGCCGAGTTTCAAGTAAACTGGCAAGCAGCACCATCATGACACCAGCAGGACATCATAAATTGCATCAGCTATCAGTGTATTTAAAATTACACTGATAGCTGATGCAATTTATGATGTCCACTAACGAAGGATTGATGGAAATTGCAACCCTAAAAGCACAGATAATATAATATTACATACTAAAAGCACAGATAACATAATATTACATACTAAAAGTAAGAAATATAAAGGGTGATCGGTTGTATAGAAACGTCATTTTTAAAGCTAGAACCATGAAAATTCATATGCAAGCTTCAGGTTAAAAAGGTAAAAATGTAGTTATATATATAATATATATATATATTATTATAGTATTTCTGTATATTTGATAATCTGTCCCCTAATATGGTTGAATAGGAGTGAACAGATTATAATTATGGAAAAAACCATAGATAATTTTTTTTCTCAGCAAAAATAATTACATTCATAAATTGTTGTTTTTAGTAGTTTAATAATAATAATCTCAGGACAATTCACACAGCGCCATCTAGTCCCAAGTTAAGCTATCTAAAGCTTATGTTACGGGCACTAGATAACTGATACAAACATAGTTTTTTTTCGTAAATACATACATATTATACATAGAAGACACCCAGACCGATACAAACAATCATACTCATGAATACAAAATGTTTGTGCCGTGCGAGGAATCGGACCCGCGACCATTGGACGCAAAGTGGTGTGCTAGACCGCTAAACCACTGAGGTCGTCAGGTTAATTCAACCCCTAACATAAGATATGGATGTATTAGAATTAAAATTCAGGTAAAAACTCATGTGCTAGATTATTAGCTTATTTAGTTTTGTATTTCTAAACTGAGCTGACAAACATATCAAAGTACGTAAATTAAAAATTTTCAGTTGAGGAAAGAGGTACCTTATTCTATATGTTCATGTAAGAGGAAGCGTTAATATGGAAATATTTAGAATCACTTTTTTTAAAGAACTGCGATCTTATTAAACTTAACTACGAAATAAAAATGAAATGAAATTTTATTTATTAAAGTGGTGCATAATAGATGGTATAGTTATTTAAGTTACATATAGCTCTCACTTTACCTTTACAAACATGTTAATGACTTTTTATAAGATACTATTATTTAGAACTATCTTTTTAGCTGATTGACCAATACAATTATTCAATTTCTAACGTTAATTTTATAATTATAAAATACCTAAAACATATTATTAAGTAAACCCGTGCGAAACCGGGTCGCCCAACTAAACATATATAAATTAAAACACTTACCAGAATAAACAACGGTGAAGAGAGTAACAAATAAAACACACTTAATAAACATTTTTAATATAACACCAAACTGAAAATAAATTATTATTATTAAATTAACTATTCGAGTTAAAATTTATCATTTAAATTTACATTTGGCTGTGTACAGGCCACTGTGGTAAGTTCATTTTAAATAGTAATTTATAACTTTAACGAGCTTTGTTTAACGATCATAGATTATTGAGACAGAGGAGTCTATTGTTACATTATTGTACCAAATAAACAGTACTGTATGACGGTAGATTTTACTTCTTTTATGTAAAGGCAAACAAGCTGACGGACACGTGGTGGTAAGTGGCAAACGTCGTCTATATACATGAACAGCACTACTGTCGTCATATCTCGCCATCAGGCGGTGCCAGCGATCCTAGTTATCATACGTTGCTATTCACGCATTCACGCTTCTCACACATTTCCGACCCTTAAAAAACCTTCTTGCAAAACCCATGTTGTCTCTCGAGAAAACCTCAATTATTAGTAATAATGTTACATATTTAAGTTACTTTCTTGACAGACTCGGTGGTCTACCTTAGGTTGTAAATAACCAAATGTTACAGTTATCACATTGTGGTAACGAAATATTGTATCATTTCACAGTATTCAAAATTTACAATTTATTTACAGAAAATTTAACTTGTTTATTGTCATTTACGATGGACTCTGTGGTCTAGAGGTTTAGTACACTGCTTTACTTTCAATGGTCGCGGGTTCAATTCCTTGCATGGTACAAACATTTGTATGATTCATGAGTATGACTATTTGTATCGGTCTGGGTGATTTCTAAATGTATTATGTATGTATTTACAAAAAAATCACAGTTGTCTAGTACCTATAACACAAGCTCTGCTTACGATGGGACTAGATGGCGCTGTGTTAATTGTCCACATTTATTTTTTGTTTATTATACTTAAGCTCCCGGCCCAAATTACATTTTGCCTCAATTGAAATTCACGTCATCATCATCATCATCATCTCAGCCCGGAAGACGTCCACTGCTGAACAAAGGCCTCCCATAGATCTCCAGATTTACATATTATGTACAAAATAAAAATTGTCTGTCCGTCCTATTTATTCTTTGACCCAAACGGGATGCCCGACAATCAGAGGAAACTGATATTCCATTGAATACTATCAAGTGCCCACAATAGGTATTTTTAACAAACGATTACAATGTGTTTATCTTTATCTTATCTAGAGCTGGACCCCAAATATTTCGCTAATGGGATTATGAATCACTACGTCATTCATTTTTTTTTTGTGAATGATCTTGCGTCGTTTAGTGAGCAAATTAAATCAAATCAAAAATAATTTATTAAAGTAGGACATTTTAGCCGCTTATAAATATAAAGTTTCTTGTTTTAATATTTTTGCCTACCGTTCATTTCAGTATACAGATTCTATTGAGAAGAACTGACACAAAACTCAACTGAACTTCTTTTTTTAAAAGCTAGTTTATTCACAATGTATACTTATAGAGGTGTCCATGTCTAACATTAAATTAAAATCCCGTGCATGCACAACTATTGCCATGCACGTTTGTCATCTATTGCCACGTACGTCCTGGATTTAGATTAAAAGGTCTTTGGTTCGAATATGGTCGTCACCAGAAAATCTTGTGTGTCATATTTCTAAGTAACTCTCCGGTGATGGTAACAACAATGATAAACGAACAACTAATCCGAAAAGCGGCATTTGAGTGTCACATTGAGGCGGTCAAGAATAATGAAGAAATTGTTAGATTAAAATAAAAATGTTGCTAATTGTAACAATTTTATTATAGGTACAACAATCGGAATGTATTAAATTAATAATATCTAGTTAGGTAAAAGAAAGAACACTCACGAACCTGAACAATATATTAAATATTTACAAGGAAAGAAAGTTAAAATTACGTGATAAATTATTTTCGTGCTAAATTGTATAACTGACCGCGCACTTTCTTAACTAACTATAGTTAGTCTTAACTAAGGATATTGTCTGCGTATAAATAGTATGCAAACATTAAAAAACAACTATATTTTTGAATAACTTTTCTATAAAAGTTATTCAAATTCGCTCTTCTCTTGTTGAAACAAATATCTACATATATGACTGATTTATTCTTATTTATTTACTTAACTAGTTGGTTGTGTATTTCACAAATAATATTTTGACTCTTATGAATTAGTGTTAGCTGGCAGTTTGTATTCAAAAGTCATCTTAAATATGTAAAGTTACAACTAAAATTTTTAAAAAAGCAACGCCGTGTCCAGCTCAATCTTGTTGTGCTGTGACAGATTTCCAAATGAGTGATAGATTAAAAAAATAAGTATTATTGGGTATCAAAAGTGCTTCAAATTTATTTGAATAAAGAAATCTTCTATTTTTTTCTATTCTATTCTATATAAAACATTAGATAGAAGTCTCATGATCAATTAATCTGTAACGTATGTCCCAATCTTGTTGACTGCGTGTTGTTTTCCGCCACAATTCTCGTACATTATAAAACGCCCACATGCCAAGGACATACAAAATGGCCGATATTAAAACAAACACTATGACCATAAACACACTAACGCCACCTGTAAATGAAAAAAATCATTTTGCATAAGAGTGTTAAAATAATTGCACAGAGCAATTAACAAAAAACTTCGCGTTATAACATTTGACACGATTTTAAGAAAATCAAATACTGAATCTATGCATGTTTGACCAAGGTAGAGTTTGTAACATTTGTTTTGGTTGAAAGGTATAATAAGGCAGTGAAATTACAGAATAAAAGGGATAAAACAAATAGCATACACAAGAATGCGTTAAAAAGAAACGCGATACTAGAATAGTGGGCGCTAAATGATAAAGTGATATCCATAGCTTGTCCTTGTACATAAAAAAACACCTGTAATAGTTCAATTTAGAACCATATTTTCACATATAACATGATCATATCTAGTTATATATGAATAGTTCATATTTAAGGCAAAATTTACACTTCATTAAGTGGGCTGTCAGCTTATTCTTCTTATTCGATACATTCTTGCCAGAACGGTCGTGGTCATTATATAGTGAATGTCTCATACATTGCCGATGTCATCCGCCGCACGACAGCTCGCCATTTGTCTCTACTGGAGTGGACCGAAATGGTAGCCAGTAATCAGCTTATGCCTACACTACTACTGTAATATGTCTATCGACACTTGATACCCTTCCATTAGTTTACGTCTCCACTAACATAGATTTAAGTTATGTGTAAAATCAGTCTACGTCCCAACTCCGCGTTGACTGTACGCGTTACTAATAAGCCATGTAGCACACTACCAATAAACTTAATAATGTACAATAAATAGTACAATCTGTTTTAACCTTGACGCAGTCATTATTTATACGTATAATTAGTAATAATCACGGGATCTTACCACGTTTTATATTTATTTGCTGAGTTCCCGATATTTCGGTAGTGTTTCAACCACCATGATCACGGGTAAACTGAAGAGCAGCGGGTAGATGGAAAATGAAATCTTTTTATGGGCAGACATATGCGTCTACCTTCACACGTCTTCGTTTGTTGCTACTACTGGAACTCGCTCGATATTCATCTCGGCAAACTGTACTCACAGTATCTTTACGTACATTTAATACACTTTTCGATCGCGTTTTTTGTTTTTGTTTAATTAAACCAATCACTGGATTCCAGGCATTAGAGAGCCTATAACCGTCTTCTCGATTGAAATTTTTATATTTCTGTATTTCAATGGCCTCTCTAACCATTCTTGGGATATAATGCCGTTCTGATGTTAATACTTTTGGTTGGTGTAGTTCAATCCAGTGATTGGGTCCCGATCGCAATAATAAATATAATAAGCAAATAAATATAAAACGTGGTAAGATCCCGTGATTTTTACTAATTATACGTATAAATAGTACAATCATTTTACCGGTATACTTACTACCTACATGCTAGAATAAATAATATGTTATGTAGTAACTCCTCATCACATCATATATAACGCTACAATGAGGATAACCATCGTGCTACAAGCTTTATTTATTACTCAAGTAATTATTATATTTTGTATGTTTCAATTTTGCTATTTAGCAGTTTGTATACACACAGACTCTTAGAAATGAAATGTTGACCAACATTTATTTAAAAGAGCAACACGCAAGTTTCTTAGCATTCTTTGTGTGATCCCAAAGAGTGGATGAATAAAAAATATGACTAATAAAAAATGTTCTTATATTTAGTTTATTTGAAGTAGGATTATGTCTATTTTTCGTCTTACCTTTTTTGTTGTCATTAGGTTTAGATGATATTTTAACTTTATCGTGTCCACCAGGTGCTATAGTAGAAGCGTTTTCATGTTCTTTTGAAAGTACTTCATTCTCAATACTTCCACTCACATTAACATTTTCAGTTGATCCTGGAACATAAGTAGAATATAAATTCAGTAAATAACCACAAATAGAAAAACATAGAGTTCGCTCATGAGCATGCGCAACGCCACGGGAAGAGGGAAAGGGGTTAGTAAGGTGGACTAATGATATCATTGCTAGCAATGTACCATGTCCGGTTGACCTCTACGCGATTTCCCCTGGAAACCATTGTGATAAATTCTTGCTGAATTTGTCACGATGGGCTAACTGACCTGACCTCATACTCATCTTATCATCCTCCACTGGTGCCCCACCAGCGTAAACCGTAAGCGCAGTCGTGTTCTCCATTCCATTATCATACACAAAGAAAAACACCATGAGAATTGCATGTAAGTTGCCGGCGTTTAAAGGAGGAATAAGCTCTTTTCTTGATGGTTTCTACATCACATAGTTTTGGAAATACTCTTGCTGGAAATTCTATACCTGTGTCTCATTTCGATTAATAAAGTTACATTGTTAAAAGGGATTACTACCATGATCGATCAAACCTTGGTTATCTAGAAGTGTAACATAATGCTTTCCTTCAGACAGTCGGCTGTTCGATCTCAGGATAATACAAATGTTTGTATTCATGTGTACATCTTGTATTTTGTTGTACCTATAGCACAAGTTGTGCTGTGTTTAGGACTAGAAAATATTATCTCAATTGTCCAGAGTCATTTATTATTATTGTTACTTTGCATAACTTTATAAACATTACTAGTTAA